GGGGTGACATTGGTGTTGGTCTGAGTATTTTAGAAACTGCTGCAATCTGCTGTCATTCTCCTGCACAACTATCTCTAGGCTTGGTCTGAAAAGAGAAAATATCCAGTGAGGGGGCGAAAATACCTCATTGATGACAGAGTTCAGAGCAGAGCGCTTCAAGTTGATAGAAGGGGAACAATGGCCCAAATAAACAGTCATTACAACTGAGGTATGCAGAAGAAAATCTCTAAATGCACAATATGTGTCTTAAAGCAGATTAGCTGCAATAGAGGAAGACTCACTAGGTACCACTCCTGTCAGCTAATAATAGAAAACTGAGGCTACACACAGGCTCACCAAAACTGGTTAACAGAACACACAGAAAACCGTTGCCTTGATTTCTGCAGTGACATTCAGAGGGTAGGGTCAGAATTTGACATAAACCATATGAAAGCATGGATCATGTCTAGTTTCTATTAACTCTCCAGGCTGTTGGTTCTGATGGTGTAGTCATGTGGGGGATTTTTTTCTTGACACACTTTAGGCCTCTTCATATCATAGGAGCATTGTTTAAACACCACAGTCTCCCTGAGTATTGTTGCTGACCATGTCCAACCCTTTAAAACCACAGTGTGCCCATCTTCTGATGGCCCCTTTCAGCATAAAGCACCATGTCGCAAAGCACAAATGGCCTCCACAATCACAAATTTCAATCCAGCAGACCACCTGAGATATGCGGTATGAGTTTGGGATGTGCAGCCGACAATTCTGCATCCGAGGACTGTTTCCTTGTTTTATCTATGCCAAGAAGAATTAAGGCAGCTCTGAAGGTACAAGAACCAGCCTGTTTATGCCGAGAGCGAAAACACCATAAAGGACAGTATTTTAAATTAAAGAAATTCAGGTAAACTGTCAGTTTTAACTGATGACTACACCAACATGAGCTTTATTCATTTATGTAGAACACTCAGCCTAACAAAGGCTAGAACTATTTGCAATGCAACACAAGACACTATTTTCAGTTGAATTAAAACAGCTTTATTAGTGTACACTGTAAGAAGTTGTATATGCAAGGTAGTTGAAAAGCCTATGAAGTGAAGTGTTTGAAAAGACAGAAATTCTAAGAGACTGTCTAAGTGAATATGCTCCATTGACAGCAAGCAAAAGGAACAGCATGTATGATAAAAAAACAAAAGTACAACTATATAACAACACATCACTAGTGACATGTAGAAACTTCACTGTCTCCAAAGAACCACCTTCTTGACGATTCACCTGAAAGAGGCTTATTTGAAGATACACAATTGTCATCACAATCAGGAAACAAAAAGAAATAATAATAATAACAATAATAATACAACACGTGATCCTTAAATAGGAATGTGGACCTTCAGAATGTGTTGAATCAGCCGTCATGAAACCTTATTTGGTTTCATCTTCCCTCTGAGAGCTGGTAATTTGTAGGGCAGGCTAAAGTCTTAGGTGGCACTTAAAAACAAATAGAAGCGAAGGCTTTTGCTGGATCCCGGCAATACGCACAAAACAGTATGACTAGCCATCAGGAAAAAACGAAAAGAAAAAAAAAAAAAAAACCTTATCAATGTTTCTGCATAGAACAAACGTGGGTTAGCAATAATACACCATGATATCGTCACTTTAACATTTGGAAAGTCTGGCTATAACTTCCAGTCAACATTTTCCCTAATAAATAAAAAAAGAAAATATAAGACAGGTTGACAGATAAATAACAAAAAGATAAGCAACATTTACCACATTGAGCTGGTTTTAGTCTGGTTACAGATGAGCATTAGTTAGGTGAAGAGTATAGGTCAACATTTGCCTGGGTCAAACCAGTATAAAGACAGGCAGGGCTCTAAAGTAAAGATAAAAATAAAGGCAATGAAGTACACTGCCTAATGAGAGACGTCATCCATCAACTGTGCGCTCTAAAACCCACCTACTGAAGTTTGACATCTTTGAATATGCAATAATGTATCATGTACCAGGATTTCTGGACTTCATGTCTTGGCCCTCATTATGTGAGAAGCTAAACCTTCATTTTGGTGTCCTTACTTAAAAAATAAAATAATAGCAATAATAATATGTCACATCTGCATCACTGATCAAGTAGAAAATGGGAATGTGTTTACGTGCACACCAACAACAGCTCTTTTATTTAGAGAATGTAAAATGAGGATACTGGGAATGTGACAGCAAGAGCCACAACAATGAGGCAAGTGAGTCCCATTATTATATATTTACATGTCCCACTTAAAATCCCAAGTAAAGAATTCACTTACAGTACAGAGACTTCAACTTAGTATCCCGTGTGCAAGTAAACACACTCATTGTTAATTAATGTGCATGTGTTGAATTACGGAACTCAATCAGCTTTTGATGCAGTTTGTTCACTGCACACTGGAATCTTAACTCCACAAATACACCTTTCAGCAACAGAGCTATATTAATTAATACCATGTGCTGTATACTCCATTGCGAGGCGGTTGGATTATACATCAATATCCAAAAGGTCAGTTATTTAGTCATCGAAACACCTTAATTTTTCTAATAGCTGTGGTACTTAACCATAAAATGCTCATCTTTAATTGTGGAGCTCAAACAGCCACTGGTGAATTTAAAGATTAAGCCGATCTTTGGTCAGACTCTGAGATGAAATACTGGTATCACTAAGATGACATCTGTAAGAGCCTAAATATGGTGAAAGTCTCCAAATTTCACACGTTGAAGAAAGAAAGGTATCAATTAGGACAATGTCAGTCATTGAGCGCAATGATAACTAAATGTGCTTTAAGTGGTAAATTCAGTGATAATGGTATATCCTATGCTACACGCACGCACACACACAAATAGTCATCAAGCTGTAATAATTTTCAAACTGAAGGTATGTTCTAAGAAAAATAAATTCTAATAAAAAGGAAGAAAGCTTTAAAGATTTTAAATATATTTATATGTAAAAAATACTCAGAAAATACAAAATGTAGCTAAAGGAAACAAGAAAATAACTGTAGAGTAACTAGCTTGTGGAGTACTTAAAGCTTGAATACTTAAACGCTTTCAAACGCCAATGTCGGTACCAGCTGGCTTTCAGATAGGAAATTTTATTTATTTATTCATTTTTCAAATCAAATGAACACCAATTCAAGGAATGTAAGGGCCCAAATCTTTACAGTAAATAGTCTAAAATAATAATCTTCTTCTGTGATTATCTTGAATCGAGTAGGCTTTTCAACACTTCTATATTTTCAATTTAAAAGCATACCTTGCTATATTTTACATGAAAGGCAACCATTTTTAATTTAGGATAGTGCAAGTGCAGAATAGAGGATGCTTGTTAATTACAGTCCAACACTGCAGGACTTTACTTACTGATAAAATGTCAATAATGATACACTATTGCAGAGATTTATGCCTCTTCCACAAATGTGAAACATAGGGAATAGGTGTTTATCTTTTCCTCTTGTTAGACGTAAGCAATAGTGAAGCCTTGTGTTTAATCTTAAGCCTGTGCATCTCAAAGTCTATACAGAGCTCCTCTTCACAAACAAGCTGATGTAACTGTGGAATAAAATAAGGAGAATGTAAGAGAGGGTGCATGGGAGGAACAAATTTTGGCCTAGTGTGACATATTGTAGACACTTGCTTCAAGTAATCCTCAACTTTAATTCCAATCATCTACACTAGGTGGTTAGTGATGACTACTACTATTTAATGGAAACTCCTCACCAACCAGTCCACGCTTCGTATAAAGAGGAGACACTTTATCATTATGAAAACAAAGGAAAAGGAAAGCGCATATGGTTTGTGTGCATGAGAAAATGCGAAGATGGGGTTCATGAGTAATTAAACCCCTTTAAGAGCAGAAGACTTTGCATTCCAACATAGTGAGGTCAGTGATAACAACAGCACATGACTGACTGGGAGAAGAGAGGAGCATCCCAAATCAAATGGAAGTTTGGTCGCCAGAAAATGAAGATGTGAAGTTGGCTTTGGTCGATTGTGAGCCTGGAGTGGCAGTAGTACTGTTAGTCAGCGTCATGTAAACAGAAATACTGACATGGGATCAAAGTTGTGCTGTGGTAAATAGGTAGTGAAGATGCGATCTGAACGAGTAGTTGGACAGACTGTCCAGCAAGTAGAAGGTCACATGCTCGATGCCCGAAGCAGCTGTTGCTGTGTCAGTGAGGAGGATAATAACGCTCTGTCCTGCTTTGGGTTTTCAGATCAGAGCACAAATGTAGGCTCGCCCAATAGGACATCACTCTCTTGTCATTTTGATATTGCAAGGTGATCTCACTTGATGAGAACTAGAATGTGTCAGTTGTTCCAACAGAGTCAGGGTCTATTGTGGCATCACTTAATAAACCACTATTGTCAATTAGTGATGTCAAGCTCTTGTCCTCCGGGTCCAATGTGTGTGGGGGGTTTTTTCTTCTTGTTTTTGTTTTGTTGTTTGTACATCACTTAAGACTGCATGGTGCTCTCCTTTAGGATACACTGTTCAAACACTGAAATGTCTGACTTTGCATCTGCAAAAGCAGGACACTGTTTAGGACATACTAGAGCAGCGCACTGAGGGTGAACCCATTTGGGTCAACACCTTATCCAACCACTGGAGGGGGCCATTGAGATGCAGTTCAATCCAACAAGGGGTGCTGGTGACTGTCTGACGCCTGCAAGGATAAAAATATAGCACATGGGTATGGGACAAAAGTAGCATTTCATGTGATTTGTTATTGATAATAAGCAGCATTTATAGATGGATTTCATATCAATATTCATTTTTTTATTTTTTAAAGCACAAAAAAAAAACAACCCAGTATGTTAAACATTATTATGGGATTTCTTACGTGTGATTAAAAATACTAAAATGTACATCTGAGTTTGCAGTTTGTCCAAGACTGTTACATTGTGTGTTACTCTTGGCAGGATGCCTTTACTGCACTCACAGTCTGTTTGGGACATGCCAACCAACTACTACTCTGTTTAAATACAAAACTGTTTGGGGTGTAAAAAGCACCCGTTTTACCTTCCACTGAACACTGGGGAGCAGTAAGGCAAAAAGTCAGTCCTCATCCTTTGTTAATGATGTTCCATGCATTTAGCTCCTAAAAACTTAACATTTTACGTGCACACACAAACTATGACGACTTAAAATCTTGCACGAGCTGCTTCTCTACGACCTGCATGTAAGATATACTGCTGACACCGCAATAGAGAGTGAGAGTGTACCTAGATTTGAATTTCAAGTCCTTCATCACTTTCTCAAGTTAGGTTGCTGATTCACTATTTCTCCTTAAGACTAATTTACTTAGGTTCAGTCCATTAACTTGAAGGTATACAAGCTATGAGTCAGTGTTAAGGGAAACTACAGTCTTTTTCATGCACAGTCCAATAGCTTCAGAAAAGTCCCCCTAGAACATCTTGAGAACTAATACAACTTCTATTGCTGACTATTCAACCATCACATCATAGCAAGCAAAATGTGCAGAGGTGAAGGGAACCACAAGCTTTGTCACAACTATTTGTGACACTTATGTGGCCTCTACCCACAAGCTCATTTTTAGTGCATAAAGAACTTAGATGGACACTGATATGTACATAAAATTACAACCAAAAGTTGTTTTTAAAAAGGGAAGGTAGGCCTAAGCCTTTCAGTTCATAGAACCAGAAAAATATTGTTAGCAATCAGAGGCATGCCAACATTTGCAACATTAACAGTTTACAGAGAAAAATAAATGAATTAAACGGCTCAGAAATTGCAAACACTATATTCCTGAGCAGTCCACAGAGAGAGAGAGACAACACTACTGAGTTTTACTGAGCAACTCTCTGGTCTGATAGGGACCAGAAAGCCCTCCATTCATTATGGATGGCAGTGTAAGAGAACATGTGCTTCAGAGACAAATTCACCTGTACTCAGCTCCCCAGCCCTTGACAAAGCTCATTCTGATGGTGCACATCCTGGTTAGTTGGTATACAGCCTCAAACCCTTGATTTACTGACTGGGCCAGCAGTGCGGCAAACTCCTGGTTGTTAAAAATCTTCAGATTACAGCCTATCAAAACAGAAAAAAAATACATTAGAAAAAGGAAACGAACAAAATGATGTGTGGGACTAATAATCCCCACCAGGAAAGATTTAATTTAGTTAATGCAAATACTCCGAGGACATTTCATTTTTCACATTTGTGCACATGTAACATTTTACAAAAATAAAGCCAAATTAACAACAAATTAAATAAATGTGCATTTCCAAAACCGGTAAGCTGAATATTAGAATTAGCAAGATCACAGTTGTGCTATATTTGTAGGTACCAAGCTGAACCATTGTGAGGAGTGGGTGTGTTGCATGTTAGGAATTATTCTACACAAGCCTTACAAATCTGACCCCTGAATGCTCAAAAGATCTTTGTGGTGCATTTCAGTACCACTGTGTGCTTCAGTAATGATAGCGTTCACACTGCTCTTTTGGCCAGGGATGAAATGTTCAAAGTTACATGGGTACAGATGAGTCAGAGTGTGGGTGAGTGTCTGAAAAGACTGTCACACTGTATTCCCTTTCTTCAAGCTCAATTTCATCAATATCAGAGGGGGGGGGGGGGGTCTACATATCAGAGCTATTTTAATTAAAAAAAACAAAAAACAAACAAAAAACAAAAAGCACAGCCATCACGCACCATCATTTTCTTAATCTTTGTTTGGTGATACTTCCATTGGAGGAGGACCAACACTAAGGTTTTTTGTTTTTTTCCCCAAGAAGGGCACGAGCAGGTTGTATCCCCTGAGAAGGCAGAGATCCTTCAATGTGTGCAGCAAAACACTAGGGATTTTCTATCAGTCGGACGCCAACAGACTAAATAAACCAATCTGGAAGGCCACCTCTGTGATACAAGCTGGACACGTTAGAAGCCCTCTGAACCACTTACTGTACAGGCAGCAATGCACTTTTTACTAAGAGTGATTCAGCTCCAGACTGACTGACACAGGAAATTGTGGTTCATGCCATAACTGTGTTCAAATTAACACATATGCCTAGCAGAGAATCATCTCTCAACAGTTTATCTCAACCCTGCAGTGTCACAGCACTTAACACTTACTGATTTACTTCACTGTACTGCACTTTCTGCTACTGAGAAACTTTAATAGCATCTGATATCTGCTATGCTGTTTCTACTACACTAGGTAAGTCACTTTTTTATAAACTTTGATTTTTTTTTACTGTATTGTATGCTACTACCTAATATTGTCAGCCAAACATTTACTTATTTAACATTTTTTAATACTCATTTTGATCCCAGATTAGTTTTTACCTTTCTGAGACATTTGCAAAATTCACATCTTTAGGATAAATAAAGTACATCTTCTATACTGTATCTTGTAAGCAAACCAGGCAGGACCTTTTTAAACTGTTGTATAAGAATCATTCAGCTTTATTTAAAAAATAAAACAAAACAAAACATGTACAAACCTGGTGGTATCTTGCAGACTGTGGCAGGGTGCCAGCCATATCGTTGATTGCAGTTAGGACTCTGGACAAAAATGGCACTGTCGCTGAGGCACTCGGCAAACACCTCCCCTCCGATATAATACAATCTCACGCCACGACCTGCAGAATGTATCACAGAAAAATTAATGTGAAGCTAACGAAAAAAAGACAGAAAAAAAAATCACAAAGGCTTACTCTGGAGCAAAGCTTGAACTTGAGTGAAACATCAGTGGACATAGTGCTATGGAAAGTCTTAAATCAGTCACACCTATTCAGCAACATGTCTTTATCAGATAGATTTTTAAAGCCATCACTGAAAGAACTGCTGTATTTCTCACAGCACCTTTACAATTGAAATCTCTGTAAAGACACATTTACAGCTCAAGGACGTCAGTGTAATGAATCTGAGATTCATAGTGCAGGTATTGTTAAAGTGCCCACACAGAGTAGCTGCTACACCATGTTATTTTTGAGTGTGTGGCAGTGTATGCTGTACCTATATGTCTCCTTGTCATTTCAACAGTAGCATTTCTGTTAACATTGCTGAGAAGCCCTAAACAGAAGCGTTCAGAGTTGGAGGGATCGGTGAAGCCATCAACGGTCAGGGATGGCTGTGAGGCATGGAACGTCTCTCCAACCCGCTGGTTTAGCTCGTAGTAAGCTATAGAGCACCAGAATGCTGGTTCGCTATAGGTGACTGGCTGAAGGTCTGAAAGAAAGAAATCATGGTGGTAATGTTTAAAGTTTTCATTGAATCATTTATTGATAATTTCCAAGGAAACTAAAGGTAAATAAATAAACCAATAAATCGCTCTTACCCAGGCCGTGACTGACAGGAGACAGGGTGCTTGGTGACATTTCTGCTGGTGAGCCTGATGACAAAAACATACAACACATTACATCTTGTTGTACTCTGTTTTGCATTTTAAACACTGCCTGTGTAAAACACACTGCTGAAATGACGTGCATGTGTGAGGTTTACATGCGAGTATAATCTTAAGGATATTTCCAAGTGCTAAACTCAACTAATCTACCTGATTCCATACTTTGATTCATCTGCTGGTCGCTGGTTTCACCATCTTCACTCATATAGCCAGGTGGAGGAGTGTCTGTAAAAAAGGAACATTAAATAAGATGTGTATTCTTAACAGCAACCATTGCTTAAAACCCAAACAAAGCCAAGAGGTTTTTATACTAAACCAAAGCTCAAGAGTTAGCACAGAAAGATCAGTTGTTACTTTAAACAAATGAGTGAAACTACTGAAATATGAAGGAAAACATACATACCTGGTATATAGTTATTAGGAGGATCTATGCCTGCAGGGAAGTTGGTGTTTTCAGGAATGGAGTTTGTAAAGTCGTCTAGAGGCGGAAGCTCTGTCAGAATCTCTGTGTGACGTGGGACCAACACTGGTGGCAGCACTGAAGAGAAAAGGAGTGTTATTGACAAGTACAGATGGAAATTGTTATACCAATTAATATGATATAATTATATGCATTTTTCCACTAAATATAATCTTGTAAAAAGACGAATGAACACTAATATAAACACATTTAGACTGATTTTAACAGCACAAAACGGAAAGAGACTAGGAGATCTAAAACAATGATTTTGCTATGACTACCATGCTCATAGGGTTGTTCAAGGACATCTTGAACACCAGAACCAAAAGTACTTGAAGTAAGAGGACACACAATTCTCAAGGACCCTTACCAGGTGTCTCCACTCTCTGGTAATGGTAGGGATTGACACACACTTCATCCTTCTTAAGGTTAAATGCATACTGGCAGGTGTCAATGGCCCTCAGCTCATGGTGGCTGTGAAGGTCAGGCCATCTCCACAGGCGGCAGTAGATGACGTGAGGCAGGCCCTTACGATGAGACACCTGAAGACGGCCATCCAGTGACCTAAGCAAGAGAAGATGAAAAGCAGCTCATAATGCGCCAAGATCTTCACAAGAAACTCTCAGAAACTCTGAAAGGTGATTGTGTCATTTCTGGTTTGAAAGTGCT